ACTGCTGCTACTACTACTACTACTACTACTACTACTACTACTGCTACTACTACTACTATTACTACTTCTACCACTACTACTGACCAAGATAATAATAATAATAATAATGATAATAATAATAATAATAATAATAATAATCATTCCCTGGTGGTTCTTGACACTTCACCAAAAAAAATCAAAATGCCAACCCTTGCCACAACATTATGTTTCTTGTATACTACTATACAGGCCCATTCTTCGCACTGGCCTTCTGTTCAATATAATATGAGAATCGTTCTGACAAAATAAGTAACTTCTCCACCTCTGTCCCCATGAAAATCGCTACATCACGCTTATAGGTGAAGTTGTTACTATTTATAAGTATGAAATCATAAAGCGCACCTTATACTTTAAAAATATGACATCAATAACAATTCTACAAATTTGACCCTAATGTCGATTTTTTGGGGCAATATCTCCATTTGTGGATTGTGAGAAGTAACTCGCTTTGTCAGCACGTCTCACATATAGGCTACTTCTACACTCATTATATACCCCAAATTTGACCAAAGAACCCATATGCAATACTCAAAGTCACAACCACTGTGGCTGACGATCACACTGACTGACTGTTGAAAGAAGACATAAACTAGCTAGTGGAAGGATAGATCTATAAATACATTTGTGAGGCGTGATGACAAAATGAGTCACTTCTCACAGTCCACAAATGGAGATATTGGCCACAAATCGACACTAGGGTCAAATTTGTAGATTCTCTGTTAATACCGTATTCTTTAAGTATAACATGACTTATACATAGTATTTCATACTTATAAATTGTGAAAATTTCATCTATAAGGCTGATCTAGCGATTTTCATAGGGCTCGAATCTGAGAAGTAACTCATTTAGTCAGCACGATTCACCTTTTGTATGACAACCATGGCTTCTTGTTTTACCCCAACAACATCCACGCTTTGGGGAGATGCGATTACACTCTACATAAACCAAAACTTGCCACGCTAAAACACCAAAACCACATTACCAGTGGCGATATAAATCACGATCCCACAAACTGACTCAAACATCCAACAACCACTACCATCAACAACCACTACCATCAACAATAATCTTCCAGAAAGAGTCCACACGGAACAGACTAGCTAGATCTAGCTGCTATCATAGAGCACAGAGCACATCACAATAACCATCCAAACAATCCTCCAATATCATAGGCCGACCGTCGTAATGGATCTTCCTAACCGGACCACATCTTTCGTTATAAAATAAGATACGCCTACATCAAATCAATAAGAATTCTTTTAAAGCAATAATAACAGAAAGGGGGGCGGGGGATGATAATGGCAATAAATATAGACATATTATTTTAGATAATAAGAAGTAGTAGGATGCCCCAAAAAAGCAAAAATATGAAGAATGTTTTGACTTACCTCTGCGTGTGGAGAATGAGCGGTCCTCGGTAGCGACAGACTACAGAACACACAGACCCATCGATCCGGACTCGCGGATTCTCGCTATGTTCCCGAGACCGCTGGAATTTTCCTCCTCCCCCTCCTCCTCCTCCTCCTCCTCCTCCTCCTCCTCCTCTTCCCTCCATCATAATATAGGCCTACCCCACAACACGGAAAAGGGGGGGGGATTTTTTACGGGAGGGGAAAAAGGGGGGGGAGTA